CCTACAATGTCTTATATTCGTTATTTTTTTTTTGTAAATCATATTTTGCCTTCTTTATTTAGAACCACTATGGACAAGCACAGCTCACTTTCAGTAACCAAGTCACTTGGAGGAACAGGTYTTGATGATGAGGAAGATGATGACAAGGGCCACTCATGGAGAGCACGGCTGAGAAACAGAAAAAACGAATTGTTTGCTTTAATGAAGCATGATGAAGAGGATGAGACTGATTTTGCAGAAAATGATTTAGAAGATGACAYTCCCACAGGTTKGAAWTTGTTTTACATGTATAWCCGCTTGTMCAGAATGGAATAATCCAAATTCGATATTTCAGTTGATTAACCATTTGCAAAGGAATCCATGGAGAGTCTCAGGAGAAAAAATTAGTAATTCTTTTGAGCATAATTATTCAAGCAGAATATTCATAATAGTCTATTTAAAGATGTGACAAGTAATGATTACATGATCACTCATCTTTCTACTACTACTGGTTCTTGTTATTACACAGCCAGAAAATGATGTACTTTAGACTTTTAAAAACAGAGTGATCCTTTCTTGAAAKTACAGACCTCTGTTCTTCCACAAAAAAGAGTGAAACAATCATATATAATAAATTTTATGTATTTTGAATTACTAGAYACTCAGGAAGACAATGATTCTGACAGAAAAAGTGGCGTTGATCGAGTAGGCGGCAAACTAGCCATGGCAATTGGCAATATCGGCACTTTTTGTGGTGGAATTTCATCTCCAACTTTTAGTGATGATGATGTTGAACAACCCGGAGACACATGTGATGATTCTGTTGATGGATCTAAAGCCGAGGAGGAGGAAACTTACATATCATTCCAAGTAAGTTTGACTTGACTAAAATTAACTTTTGCTGTGAATGAATGAATTATATACTTATCTGCTTGATTAAAACGACCCCATTAATGCGGCCACTTTTCGATGAACCTTCGGTGACCGAATAAACGGGGTCTAACTGAAGCTTTGGTGTTCTCCTAACAGGTTGATGRCTACTACGTTGTCGATTATGTCCCTATCCTTCGCTCWGGACGTTTTCTTTATAAACTGAAACCTTGTGTTGGAGATGAGGTTAGTTAGTGTACTACAAGAAAGTCTTGTATTATTTGTAGGTTACATTTATTCTTCTCTTTCCATAGTCTAATCTGAACACGCATGTGGTGGTACAAATAGAYACTAAGAATGGTCAGAAGACAGTTACTCTTCGATCTCCACTACAGGTATTTCATGGCTACTTTTGTYTTTTAATGTAAAGGCATTTTGTGATAGCACCTATTTTATTCATCATTATATTTTTTGAGTTTTCATGAGAGCTTTCAATTGATAATTGTTAAAGATTAAAGATCAATTAGAGCACAAAATTCTTCGATCCTTTGCGAGCACATCTATCTTCAAAATTAACTATATATAGATAGATTTTGTATAATATTTTTATAGCTCAGGGCTCCCATTGATAACAATACACCTGATGGGCCCACCCCCATGAGCCTTATATTAAATATAGTTTTATTCATTCACTCATTCGTTTTTGCTTTGTTTATTCAATTKTCTTATACTATCAGGTGCACAATCATCTGTGCCTGTCAGTGGATGTTCTCATTTACGATGAATCAAAGATTGGCGCCAAGAATCCATTCACACATTTACTTACAGTAGAACCAAGTACAATCTGTAATATCCCCATTACTGTGGCTTATGGGAAAGATATTTATCTGAAAGTTCATCACCCTAGGTAAGCCTCTTCTTTTAACTTTGATCTGTAATATAATAGTTCATCCACATTTGAAATATTGGGAAGCTTTCTTGTTGTTTATCATGAWATGTGTCCCCTTGTAATTTAGATCTTGCTACAAATAATTATTCCTTGAAGATTGTATATTATATATATCTTTTTCCCGTGTATGGTGACGATATTCATAGATTTTTTAACTTGAGAATTTCTTGCACAGGTCTGGTGTATCCCAACAACCCTTGTCATGGCGCAATTTCTCCAAGGAAGACGTCGTATTAGAATTTCCTCAGACATCGATGGTGGAATCTTTAGAGTCCCTTGAATCACTAGAGTCTTTAGAGTGTGGTCTGCCACTCCAAGTCAAGGTACAATGATTATTAAAGCAAACTATGAAAACAGTTTCCTGGTCTTTTTTTAAATCCTTCAGTAACCTCTGAAACCACCAAACCAGCTCATCGAATCTATGAGCAGATCATAGGCATATTTGATTCCTTGAACTCCTTTTCTCAAAAAAGAAAAAAAAATGCATGCATTAAGGATTTTAATTCGAACGTAGTGGTATTCCTTGCAAGAACTTTGAATGGAGTCTGAAAATAAAAGATTAATAGTTATTTGTTGCGATGTATATATTTTTCCTGTAGGCTCACTTCCAGGTGGATTCGCTCAACAAAAGTCCAAGCAAAGATGTCCCGCACCACGTGATTCACCTTCATCCTCCAATCACATTGCACAATTTGCTTCCAGTGGAGATATCACGGTTATCAACGGTAAATAAAAATCAATTCAATCCCAACTATATGCACCTCACAAATTCAAAGATAATCATTATTACATATTTGAAYAGCCATGTTTGATAAGATCTTAAGTTCGCATAATTGTATAAAAAAAACATCATCAGTTACGAAGATGCTTCATAACAGCTTCAGTGACGGACAGCTCTCCAAAAACCCATTTTTCTAACACACAAACACCTGTGAACGCTTTTTTCGGTCATCTCTTACGGGAGATTTAGCTATATACGAAATTCCTTTGATTTGATTTGCATTTTTTAGGGTGACAGTCAGCGTGAAGAGATCATTCTGCCTGGCGAAAAGGTCACAGTCTTGACAGCCTCGGTGGAGAATTCGTGTCAGCTTAAAATCAAGGTCTATTTTTTATGTTGTTTCTAAAAACTGTTTTCAATTTTTTTTAATGATTTCCATTTATACAATAGCTTAATAATTACAAAGAGCAAGAMTGGTTGGGAACTCTTAACATCGACAAGACAACTGGTAAAACTACAGATTTGATTATGACCAATATGGCTGACGCTAATAACAAATTGGTAAGTTACATAGTTGGTTAATAAGACTCCAGTTTACAGTTCCTCAATCGCCATCTTGAAAGGTAACCAAACCTTTGCTTCTTAGGGAGGAGGCCGTAAAACTAACAWGTACTTTTGTAAGCTATGATCAAAAGGTATCTCTGCAAGCTCAACTTTTATCTGTCTTTGATACAAAGGCCYGGCTACCTTTCAAGATGGCGATTAAAACTGTAAAATGGCGTATTCTCARGCAATCCACTGACTGTCAGTAAATAAAAGAATATATTGCACCGTTTTTGACATAAAAAAACATTTGACATAAACTTAACAAATTAAACTGTTTACATAATTTCTTGTTTCTTTGCATCCCAGCATCTTCAATAAATGTTTTTAAAAGATTCTGTTATTTGAGGACTGTTAGTTAATTTTTTCAATGTTTTTAGGTTTTGGGTGTGCTGATRATGCCTAGTGGTACTACAGATATCACCATATACTGCCCTTATTGGATAATAAACAAGACATCTTTACCAATGGAATACAGGGTAATTAAAATCAGATATCCTGTGATTGCTGGGGACGTTTTTTCGGGATCCCTGTCCTTTCGCCATATTTGGTGCACTCGGTGTGCTATGAACCAGAGGAGATATCAGTAGTATCCCTTTATGCTTTGCGCGCGTGGTTTGTTGACAAAATGGCTACTATTTCCGGTGATATGCCGGGTAGTAAGTTTCCGGTCCAGAAAATTGTCTTTTTTGCATCTTAACAAGGGAAGTTCCGAAAATATTTGCTGTCTGATTAATTTTCTTTGTATCTCTCTTAATTTTTTGAAGTAATGTTTGTTTTAAGTATGAGAAAATTGCTGTTTTGTAGTTGACATTCGCRGTTTCAATTTAAGTTATATAACATTACGATCGGTTCAAAAAAAGTGCTGTTTTTACACTTGTTCTTTGAGCTATTTAAGTTTTGTTAAGTCAGATCTATAGAAAATAAGTCATACGAAGCTACAGTCAAAAATGTCTCAAAAAGTCTCCATGATTTCAAGTGCTAAACAGAGCTTGAAAACCCTTGAAATTTGCTAAGTTCGTGTGAGTCGCGTATCTTGATTAGGCGTAAGGTTCACTCGCTACCAGAGAGCTATGCTACAGTTTCGTCCATACAAATAAGTTAATCATAAAACACACTGAAATACAAGTGTCAAAGTACACATCAGTATACTTTTAACCTCTTTTTGAACGATTTTCAATATAAATAATGTCCAAAAGAACAAACTCGTGTCACTGTAAGCTTTAATATTAAAATGAGTTTACAAATCGCGCATTAGCAATGAAACTGAAAACACTACCCATAAATACTACAATAAAACAGAAAACAACTTATACCAACTAATGATCAAAGTAAGAACTGTTTATTTATAAAAGGATTTCTTTCAATGCAAAACAACAACTTCGGTTTTTCTAGCATCAAAGCCGGACTTCAGTTCTAATCTAGTTCTAAGCTCATTTCAAGTAATTTCAAACAATGAAAACAAGTTTTTACTAACCTCTAAATCTGACGAAATAAAAACACGGACTATAAAGTAGGACTTCTTATTTTATCAAACAGCTTTCAACCTTTTGACCGTACACAGCGAGAGGAATCAAAGCAACTCAACTCTCCGACAATTTCCTTATCGATTTAGCTTATCTACAAAACTGATGTCCACTTGTCGACAAATAAGGTCTAAAAAAGCAATTCTTCTTGTCGATACTTGAAAATTGTTCTTGCTTATACAATGAATATATAAAAAAGAAGAATCTTTGAGATTTTCATCTATATAATCGAAATTCTAGAGATGAAATTGGCGAACGGGTTAAAGTTTCCCGCCATTGATCTTCACTCGGCCAAGACCAAAAACAAGTGATGACGTCATATAAAAACCGATAATATAGTCTTAAACGCAATGCATTGTGGGGTACTACTGTTCCCTCCTCTGGCTATGAACGGTCTGTCTCTCTAGTACATGATATTCAGCAATACAGTCACCGCTGTGGCGGTTTCCCTTCCTTTCATACGTTCCATTTGGTTTCATTGTATAGCTAAAGTAATATGCCTTTTGCATGAAAAGATCACATGGTGATCAACCAATTTACAGGGAAACGTTGTATTTCTCAGGTATCGAAATCTCATCAAATGTTTTACCAAGCAGCCGTCGAGGACATGCCTTTACTATTTAGCTTCCCTCTCAAGTCAAACCGTAAGGTAAAGGATRATTAAAAAATGACATCTCATGCTAAAATGTAGGAATAAGCAGCCTAATGAAATGGTTTGGATGATTTTATCATCTAATTGATTTGTTGGGAGATTTTTTTCATSGATTATCAATCAGTTGAATATCTGAGCCAGGGGGTAAAACTACGGATATTTCGTTGAACTCCTAGGTTCGGATGAGGGTGACGGACGCCTTATGGTCAAGTCACATTTCACTTGACGCTGTAGGAGATTCTGGTCTAGTATCTTGCTACAATGCGAGAAAAACACGCACATTTAAGGTAATTATCTTACTAATTGATCGTTCTAGTGTGACATCAACTCTTAGTCTCACTATTCTTTTACGGTCAAATGAACTWTATTTCGTTTCTCTTGCAGTTTGTGTTACAAATTGTCATGTCACAAACAAGTCTTACKAAGATTGTCACTTTGACACCCAAATACGTTTTAATCAACAAAAATGAGGTGAGTATCAGACCTCTTGTATACTGATTGGATTTCGCATCGTGTTTGTGTTGTCGTCCATCTTCAAGGAACTTATAAACAGCACAAAAACGCCGCAACATGTATTAYAATGTTGATATGAGTGTTGACTAGGCTTTAAAAGCCTTAAGTGTGAGTGCAGCCAGTTAGCTTCTAATCTCGCTATCTATATTCCACATTTTAGTTCTCCATATCTTTCTGTGAAGATGAAATTGCTTCTCCACTCTGGCATGCAATTGAACCAAGTGAGGTAGGTTTTCTTCATTTATTTTTTGTCTTTGAATCCTGTTGTCTCATCGTTTTCAAGAAGATTCCTTGTTGCTGTGGATTCAGATCTAATTCCTTACATCGTTTATTACTCCATCCAGGTCAAGCCGTTTTGGCCAATCAGCTCAGTCCAAAGACTGCTCATCAAGCCTACCCTATCATCATTTATCTCCAAAGCTTTTCCCTATAATTACTCCCATACAAGTGTTCTTCGTATGGTAGATCCTAAGGCCATATGTGTTGAAGTCCATGGCGATGTTGAGGGTTCAGTGACGACAATTCTCTTCACACCCTACTCCCCTGGGGTTGGAACGATTCGCATCGAGAACCTTTGCGATGACATCACTTTGAGGTTTTCACAGGAGTAAGTGACGTCATTCTTGTGTCTGAAGATTATTAGCACATTATATGAAGCGGGCTTGCCTGATTGATCGGGCTGATTTCTTTTTTATATGTGTGCGTGTGTGTTCCCTGGGGAAAGAAGGTTAAATTGCTTTATGAAATCAGGTCCTGATTCAATAGCCATATTCTACTTGATCGTTTGTGTAGAAAAACCTGCCGCGTGACAGTTCTCCAGCCCAAGTTCTCTTTACTGTACACATGGGACGACCCTACTAAACAGCGGAAGCTCTACTGGAAGCCTTACCTTGGCGTAGATGATGCTGTAGAGGTCCCCATACATAAGGTAGTATAGCTTACCTACAGCACCTACATGTTGTTTTCAATTTTAGAATACATGATCATGAGAGAATCAATCATCTTTGCATCTTTGTCCGCTCATCAGTCTTCCAACTCTCTCTCTWCCTGTATAAATCAGCGAAAAATACAGGAATAAAATTAAGAATATCAGAAAAGGATTCTTCTTAGGCTTGGCACGCTTTCAGCTTATGTATTTGTGGTCTTTGTAGGATGGCTTTGGTGAGGTGCAACTAGAGCTAAACGAAGGTGGTCCTGATGTCAAAGATGACAGGAAACAAATGGAAGACAGTGGTGTCACTTGCAGCACGAACTGCTCGCCGTCATGCTTACCATTATCTCGTGTTCCAGTTTCCTCCTCTGACGCGGAAGAGAGTGGATCGGATGAAGTGGATGGATCTASAAGGTTCAGACGCCGGTCTAGTAAAAGATAYAAAAAGACAGTGYACTGGGTGTCGTTACTTGAYGGACTTCAACGAGTTTTGCTCTTTACTGAAGACAGCCAGTTGGCCTCCAAGGCTAGAAAGGTGAGAAAATGTGTACAAATTAGAGTACTTTTGGGATTTGTGCCTTCAAATGCTCGTAGACGAACTATAGATGGTGGATTGGACACTAAACATTGAAAATAATTATTCATTTTTTTTTTGCTGTACTTCATTTCAGTCTAGTGAATGTGAGCTAGTAAACTTCGAGCTGTTTGTGTCGCTAGATGGTGTTGGATTATCGTTAATGAATAACAAACCAGAAGAAGTGGCAAACATAACCTTATCAAGGTAAAATATTGAAGTTGAAGCAAGCTATACTTTGTTCTAAATAGTCTTCTTCACAGTTACCTGCACCATCTTGAAAGGTAGCCATGCCTTTGCATCGGAGAGACGACCTCTGAGCGTGCAATGATAGAAACCTTCTTTCACACCTACAGACAATTATTCACATGTATCTATCATTGCACGGTCAATGGTTGTCTCGCTTCGATATAAAGACACRGTTACCTTTCAAGGTAGGTTACTGTGAAGGAGACTGTTGTGAGCAGGAGACACCAAAGTCTAGCAGTGCAAACCATAAGCTTCAAAATTTCCATACGATTGTTTTCCCCTTTCTAGCTCGGCATCTGTTTGGAAAGTAGAAAAGTCACCAGGTCACTGGAAGACACTTGGTGTTGAACTGTCGACTTTGCTGGAAGATGCCTGGAAAAACGGCCAGGAACAGTTGAACATGGATGAAACAGTAACAGTGAGCATGAAACCCCTGACCATTTGGACTGCTACCTTTTGTATACACTAGTGGGCCTGTTCAAAGTTCGATTAGTGCTAATCCTCGGTTAACTCTTAAAAAAGCTATGGAGTTAAACCTGGATTGACAATAATCGGGATTTCAACAGCCCGGACCTGATGAAAATATACAATGCAGCCATTGATAGCAGTTTTGACATTTGGGACGTCGGCACTTACTTTTTACTTCGTCGGCGGCCTTTCAAAACGTCAGTAACGTTAATTTCTTCTTGATTATGTATTACATTATTATTATGTTTCTATAGCGTTTGAACACTCCCAGCTAGGTCGGAAATTATTTTTTCCGGRTTTATTCCTAAGGGACTTTCTCCCGGAATTGCCTCCTTCTAAGCACTATAACTTTCTTTCATTTCTTTCATCTCGTGTCTATCATAGTGCCATGCGGTCCTCACATTCATATGATTTCATACTAGTTCATAACATCTACACCTAGTAAAAACTTCTTATCATAGTTATTTTGTCATGACAGGTSGATTTTAGAGRTAGTTGGAAAATGATTGCCCCATTTGAAGGGTCTCTTCGTCGTTTATTTGTGCCAGCGCTAAGCTTTGATTACCGCTCATCACAACATTACMAGAGCGTTCATTCAAAGATGCATCGAATACAGGTGAATATTCTCATTCCTACCGTTCGTAGTCCTCCGTCCGATTCCATATTTTGTTTTAGCCTTTTGATTATTATTGATTATTTTTGGTAGTGCCTCGTTTTTTACGTGGATGGCTCCAAAATTAATAACATCTTTATTAAACGTTTCTTTTGTCTGTTTCTTATATAGATTGACAATCAACTGTATGGCTCAGTGTTTCCTGTGGCCTTATACCCTGCACCCCTACCGATGGGTGTGGCTCTCAGGAATGGTATGGATCCTTTACAAAGCCATGAATTCAACTCTCATCTTGTACACATTACTAGAGTGAAAATTGTTCAAATACTTTATATKGTATAATAGGAAAATACGGGTACATTTAATGCAATCTATTACGGACGCAAACAAAATGTTTAGATTTTTTCATGTAAGAATGTTTTGTACGTAGGCCCTAAACCATTTATTGAGATGTCTGTTATCTACCACGAGGTACCAGGGCAAGGAGTTCATCATTTCAAGTAAGTACGACATGAAATACATTGCACTGGAGAGACGTAAAGAAGTGAATATCAGAAAAAATAAACATTCAAAAACTCCAAATGTTGGGTTTTCCTAAGGCAATTGAAATATTGTCCAGGTTGTTTCCAAACATCAAGCTACAGCTGCAGCTAAAGCTGCAAAAAGGAAATTCAAAATGTTGGAGATTCCGAAGGCAATTGAAATGTTGTCTAGTTTGTTTTCAAGTTTAATATCTAAGTTAAAATAGAAATATCAATGTTAGTGCTAGCTTGTAATTCTTTTCTAGGTATGCTAAAGTGCTGGTTCAAGAGATGAATGTCAAACTTGATAAGAGTTTTATTTTGGCTCTAGCGAGCTTACTTAGTAAACCACCAGAATCATACGACGAGGTATTGTTAATATACGAGCGGAAGGAGCAGTCTCCTCTTATTATCCCTTGCCTTGTCTATTTGCTTGACAGTAATGGGGATATCATCAAAAGATGAATTGTGATTGATTGATTGATTAATATATCTTATCGCTCCCTTTTTTT